ATCTAAACCAAGGCTGGACTCAGATTTGGAGCCAAGGCAGGCACCCTGCTCAAAACCTAGAGGAGGAGCAGACCCAAATTCAGGCCAAGAGAAGAGAGAGGTGTAGGCCATAGGGCATGTGGGGACAAGCCAGCCCCAGAGAGAAAGGAGAATACGAAGACTTAGGAAGACGGCTTAGGAGGACGAGTGGGCAACATGGCACGGGAAGAGGGGGATAAGGCCTGGGCAGTAGATGGCTCCCCTGAGGGGAGGGGAGAACATCCAGGCTGGGAGTGGACACAGGAAACAGGAGCCCACTGGTGGCTTAAGGACAGAAGCTGGGCCTGTGGAAGGGCCTGGGGCAGGAATGGGGGTGTGTCTGCAGCAGGACTGTCAGTAAGAGTGACCTTGGCTGGCAGCCCAGATGCTGGGCAACTGCTGAGCCCTGGCTTCTGAGGGATGATGCTCAGGAGACAGGTATCCACCCCAAGAACATGGATGTCACACTTCCTCTAGGGAGGGCCCAGGGGATGGTCACAGGCTGTTGTCTCCTTGGCCGCTGAGGTCCCCTGACAGCAGTCCTGTGAATGGGAGCTGGGGAAGTGGGGGGGACAGTCACCCACAACAGCATCACTCCCTGGAGCAGAGCCCACTCGCAGTCTGGCTAAAGTTTGATCCCTGCAGGAAGAGCAGGGACTGAGTCACGGGCAAGCTCCAGGCTCTCTCAAGAGTCTGCTCAGAAACCAACTCATCTGAATGCAGACAGACACTCGTCCCCATCCGTGTCCCTGCTGCTGTCACACACTACACTGGCACACACATCCTCCCCCTCCTTCTCCCCTTGATCATCCACCTCCAGGGCTCTGGTTCCTTCCTCCATTTCAGGCCCAACAGCCTGTCTCTGTCGCTGCCCATCCTCGCATGGCCCATCAGGCACCCCACCCCCAGGTCAAAACTGGTTAGTGGGGTGAGGAGGCAAAGCACAGTAGGGAGCCCAGGAGGTCCACCAAGAGATCTGAGCTCACAGACCAGAACGAGACCAGAGAGCAACATAGTCTAGACGATCCCAACCCCCCACCTGGAGCTCTACCAGCCTTGGGATAGGAGCTCTCAGCAAAAGTCTAGGTGTCCCTGCCAGGGTGCTCAGCACCCACCCCAAAATACAGGAACCAGCTTCAGACTCCCAGATGGAAGGATATGACATAGGGACAGATCAGGAATGGACACTGTGATCTCACCTCCCTTGACCCCTTCAAGGACAGAGGTGAGTTCATGAGACTCAGAGGCAGGAGACATCCTGATGACCCCTGGGGCCCATAGTCTGGAAGTTCTGCCATGTTACACCCATTCCCTGGACCCTCTGACCCCTTGCAAGATCCCCAAAGCAGTCGTCTGGGTGCTCAATCCATAGCCCCAGGCCTCACCCCAACTCCCCCTGGCCCTAAGTGAGGCTCAGGCCTCCATCTGAATAACACTGAGGACACCAGCCATGTGAGGGCTCAGGTAACACCCACGCCCCAACAGGCTTGGCCCTCCCCACGATGGGTCCTGGGGTGACAGCTCGTGCTAGAGCTTGTGAAGGTGGAGTGTTCGGTTTACAGTGCCCAGTCCTGCGCCTGGCACTGTGCACCAAGGCCACAAGTTTGCCCCCGTCTGTGCCCTGGGGACATCCAGATGAGTGGGCAGAGGACTCACTTGGGCACACACTGCACATACACACACACACACACACACACACACACTGGCTTCACTGGCTGCCCCTGAGCAGGGGGCTGGGATAGGACCACAGGGTCTCTTTGTGTCACCCCATCTCTGGGCCACAGGTAGAGGAAGTAAGACACCCCCAGAACCCAAAACAATGCAACACACAAGTGTCAGGAGGCTGCCACCTTCCAGCCCCAACAGGAAGGGGGGTGGGATCATGCAAGAAACCAAGAGAGGAGATATCCTGTCCCTGGTGACTCCAGCACTTCCTCCTCCTCCTCTCCCTGGGGGAAATCCAGTGCCCACACCTACCCCCGGCCTGGTGGTTCCCCAACACACACGCCACACCCAGACATCCTGCTCCCAGCTCAGGCCCAGCCCCACCTGGGTCAGGTTCCCACACACACAGAATGAGGGGTGAGGGGCCAGCTATCCCCACTGTCCTGGGGTAGTCCTTGGTCTGGTGAGGCCCTCCTGGCTCAGAAAGCCCCCTTCCTTCTGACTCCAGAGCCCTGGTCAAGGGACACGACCACAGCTGCCCCATAGACCAGCTCAGAAGAAATTAACCCTTTCCCGGCCTTACCACAGCATTCCAGTCCTGCCCCTTCTAGGGCAGCTCCTAACCCTCACCTGAACTATTTGTCCTCCTAGAGGTCAGGTCCCATACCACCCTCCTCCCAAGGGCACAAAAGATCCAGGTGAGCCCTCCTGGCTACCCCTTTACCTGGGCAGTCTACCTTGTTGCACCTTCCAAGGGCTGACCAGCACTGTTCTGGCTCCTCGCCTGTCTCAGGTGCTCAGGGCTCTGCCAGCCACCAGCTCCAGACTGAGGTGCGCCCCTCCGCACCTGCTCCAGAGTCCCCAAGGCACTAACTAAAGCAGTAGCCTCCTCTTCACCTGGGCAGAATCCCCAGGCTCCAGCACTAGGCCCAAAGGGCCAGGGACCTCATGAGGGAAACGAGGACTTCTCCGGCCCTCCCTGGCCTGGATTGGTACCTTCTAGGCCCGCAGGCCAGGAGCGGGGAATGCGGGGCCTGGTGAGGGGCTGGCTTATGATGGGACAACTGGGAGAAAAAGGCAGAAGACTTGGGAAGAAGGACTGGGTGCAGACAGGCTGAGTTGGAAGGGCAAGAAAGAGATCTGGGCACGGCAGGAGAGGCATGGAACAGAGAAGGGAAGATGATGAGGAAGAGACAGGAATGAGAAACAGAGACATGACATGGAACATTGAGACAGGTGGACAGGGCAAAGGGCAGATGGGATTGGGCAATTCTTGTGCCTGTGTTGACATGTGGTTCCTGGGATTTGTGGAAACAGCCATCCTCCCAGATCCCTGCTCCTCGGTTTTCTGCCCCAGTACTACCTCCTGGACCAGCCCAGCCTAGAGAAATGAGGACCCAGAGTGGAAAGACCCCAGCCTCAAGGAGACAGGGCACTGCCGGGGTGGGAGGGCCCTAGCCCCCCGGATGACCCTCCTGGCCCAGGGCTGGACATAGCCTCTCACTGGGGATTTCACCATCATCCTTCTGGGAATGGGAACCAGGACCGGGAGGAGGGCCAGCACCCATGGGGACTGAGGTGGAGAGAAGGAAGGAGACACTTGATAGGACCCTTGTCCTGGCCAGCCCCAACTGTCCCACACTCCGACCAAGTGACGGTGAAGTGACAACCTCCAGTGTGTGGGGTGGGCCAGCTCCACAGCCTCCTTCTGCCACCTGGTGGCAACAGGGAAGAAAAGCAAGAGCAATAGATGAACAGAGAATCTGTGACCACCAAGGGTGCGTCTGCATTTAACCCATCTACCCTCTGACCGCCAGCCAGGTCTACCTGAGGGAATCCTCTCCCATCTCACCATTCTGCCCCAGGGCCCTGGTTCCTTCTCCTGCCACTTCCCCCCTTGGTGTCTTTTCCTCCTCCCTCTCAGAACCAGCTTCCCCCTCCAGGATGCTGAACTGAGCCTGAGTCACTTCCCTGGCGGCAAACCCTGGGAGAGGCTGTGCAGGACCCACAGCCACTAGGGACGGACTCAGGCTGCAGAGCCCATTCTCTGCCCCAGCCAGCCGCCTCCAACGTGAGTAGTAGGGGGAGCCCTGGGTCTGAGGAGGGGGTAGGGGCTGGGAAAGGGGATTGACACCGGGAACCAGGGGTGAGGGAGGGGAGGGGACACTTCCAGCTGTTGGTGAATTTCCTGGAGGATCAGGGCTGAAAGGGACCGCAGAGACCATCAGTCCAACCCCTTTGGTCTACAGATGGGGACTCAGAGGCTCAAGGAGGGTGAGACTTGCCCCAGGTCAGTGAGTAGCCAGGACAGGGTGGACACCCAGGCCTCTGGACTCCCTTCCCTCTCCTCCCAGCACCCCAACCTCCACCCAGCCCCCTCATTTATCTTCACATCCTTCTCCCTTCCCCTCCACACTGTTGCACTGCTGCATCACGGACACCCCCAACCCAAACCCCAACTACCACAGCCTGGGAGGCAGGACACCTGGATGTTCCACCCATGCCCAGTCTTGACTCCAGGAAATGAGAATTAGCCCATCAGCCCTCAGTGACCCAGTGTCTCTCTCTGGGTCCCAGGACCTGATGGGAGAAGAACAGGCCGAGATTTCGCTGGTAGAGAGTGGCAGGATTAGAACCAGGCGCTCTGCTCCCTACACACACCCGACATAGGCCTCAGTCCCAGCTCCCATCTCTCACATTACTTCTGCAACCCTGTCCTCAAAGAACACATATTTTCCACTCAGCTGGGGACCAGGAAAGGGTGAATGGGTGTCTCGAGGAGGATGACTACTTGGGTGAGGCTGAGAGCTCTCTGTGGGGAAGGGAGGTGACATCGCTAGCCTAGTATCCACAAGGCATGAGCCCTCACAGGGTGGCTCACATCAAGTCAGCAACCAGAACAAGAGCCCTGTTGACACACAGGCCTAAGTTCAAATTCTGGAAGTCTTTGGCTTTGGGTAAACACTTACCCTCTCTATACTCCAGTTTCTCCTGGTCTAAAATGGAGTTAATAATCTCCCAGGGTTATTGTGAGGATTGAGTGAGAGATGATATCAAGCAATTAGCACAGTGCCTGGCACCCAGGGCCTGCTCAGTCAGTGGAGGCCACACCATCATCTTCACATGCTGGCCTACAAGATAGAGCTGGGATTTTCATCCCACTGGGTAACTCACTGTGCGACTCTGGAGAAGTCACGTTCCCTCTTTAGGCCTTGATTCCTCCTTTGTATAATGAGAGAGTTGGACCTCTGAGCCCAGAGGGTCCTTCCTGGGTTGACCTTCCAATTCACAAGGAATCACATCGTTTCCAAGCACCCATGGCAGAAGAGGGGGCCATGCTCAAGGTCACTGAGGACCTGAAAGGTGAGTGTCTGGAGAGACTTTCTTGGACTGAGTCTTGAGTCTTTCCCCCAGAGGCCTCACTGCCTGACGTTTGACATCCACTATCCCCACAGCTGCTGTCTCTGCCATCCTCCAGGGCTATGGGGACGGGCAGGGGCCAGTGACAGATGCCAGTGCCGAGCTGCACAGACTCTGTGGCTGCCTGGAGCTGCTGCTACAGGTGGGACCCCCCTATCCTCTCCCCCAGCCTCTCCCCAGGTCCAAACCCAGAAGAGCTCTTGTCCCCTCTGTTACTACACACTGTCTCATCCCCCTCTCCTTCCTGACGTGTAACCCCACTCATGGAAGCTGTCACTGCAGCCTGGGAAGTAAGGTGAGACACAGCTGGGGTGGGCGGGATCAGGACTGAGGGAGCCACCTTGCTCTGAAGACTAAAGCTTCAGAGGCACAGATGTCCTAGGACTGACCTTTCTTGAAGCAAGTTAGAGCTTCAGTTATGACCGTCACTCGCTGTCTTATAACCTGGTAGTTTTATAACCTGACCCTCTTTATGCCCCCCCCACCCTGTTTACTCACCGTTCTCACTCTCATCCTCTGGGGTGTTTGATGACTTTCTCCACACACACACACACACACACACACACACAGTCCTTCCTCCTTGTTTGCCTTTGTCCCATGCTGGTCTGCTGCTCACCTGCTGCTCAGGGTCTTTGCACTTGCCCTTCCATCTGCCTGGAAGGCTCTTCCCCCAGAAATGTACATGGCATACGTTCTCATTTTCCTCAAGTTGGAAGACTTTTTCTGGCCACCATCATCTAAATTTTCAACACATATACCCATGCCACATTTTCTCTTCTCTTTCTCTGCTTCCTTTTTCCTCCCTGGCAGTGATCACTATCTGACATAGTCTATGTTTTCCTTCTCTAGTCTGTTCCATGTCTAATTCCCCTACCGTGTTGTAAGCTACGTGAGGTCTGTTTATTCACTGTTTATTCACTGTCAGAACAGGTCCTGGAAAACAGTAAGGGTTCAGTAAGTGCTTCTGAAGAATGAAGGGGAATACTGAGAATCAGAAAAGTCCAGCAACTGGCTCTGTGGGGCTCTGTGGGGCTCCTGAGCACATAGCCAGTAAGGACCCAGCCAGGATCTGATGCCAAGTCTGTCTGCTGGAGCCCCTTCCTCTACCACGTGCTCCTCAGCAGGCTGGAATGCAGGGTAGGTTCTAGGAGGAAGACTTTCAACACTTTTCTTTCCCTCATTTCGGTCCTAGTTTGACCAGAAAGAGCAGAAGAGCTTCCTGGGGTCTCGGAAGGATTACTGGAACTTTCTCTGCACTGCCCTGCGGAGGCAGCGGGGGGACATGCAGCCAGCGTGCTTCATCCATTCCCTGGACAAGGTATCCAGGGCCAGGTGGGGGGAAGGCTGGCCTTTGGTCATGATGGGGCCCGGCCACCAAGCCCCTAATAAGAATGGCTGGTGAGGGGAGACACTCACCTCTCTCAGGCCCCTTCTCCCCATCCTGGCTCCCTTGACCATAGACCCCCTCATCTGGTCCTCACCTCTCGTGAGCCCCAAGACACCCTTTCTCCTCAGTTCCCGTCTTCCCTCTGCCCTAATACCACCCCCATCCTGTCTGTTGTGCACTCTGCAGTTGAAGACCCCTCTGGGGAAAGGTCGAGCCTTCATCCGCTTCTGCCTAGCCCACGGACAGCTGGCCGAGTCTCTGCAACTCTGCCTCCTGGACCCGGAGCTCACCAGGTGGGGGGCTGGACATCCTTCTACAGATCCCCATTGAGCCCACTTTCCCTACTGCATGAGAGGGCCGCCTTTACCACCTGATGGATGGATGGTCTATCAAGGACGATTAAATGAGAGTCGTGGAGGAAAGTCAAGGGAGAAAGGGCTGAGGGAGGTGAAACTCAGAAGTTCTGGCAGCATCAGGGAACTTGGCCCTTCTGCTCCCATAGGGCCACAACCCTGCCTGGGGAAGAGCCCCATTATGGTGTGCAGTGGAGGCTGATTCTCTAGGATCACGGTGACCTTAGCACTAGGGTCAAATGTCAAGGGTGCTGATCCCTTTTCACACAGGGAATGGTATGGACCCTGGAGCCCTCTGTTGTGCCCAGAACTCCGAGAAGACATCTTGGACTCTCTCTACACTCTCAATGGGGTGACCTTCAACTTGGACCTGCAATGGCCAGACCTGGATGGGGCCTGGCCCATGTTCTCTGAGTAAGTGGGTGTAGCCAGGAGGGAACACCTTCTCCCATGACCACCACATGTCCCAGGCAAGCCCTAAGCCCTCAGCCTCCAGCCCCATCCATCTGTACCTTCTTTTTTGCTCCTTGACCTTGGATCCTCCTAGCCTTCAGTTTTCCCAGTGCTATCTCATGCTGTCCCATCATGCTGCCTAGAACACTTGGTCACTAAAGATTGCTTGGATGGTTGGAGTGGAGGGCTGGAAGATGAATGGATGTGACGTGTTAAGATGTGGTGTGTGGATGATTGGAGGGTAGAAATGCAAAAATGGGCCGGGCTTGGTGGCTCAACCTGTAATCCCAGCACTTTGGGAGGCCGAGGCAAGTAGATTGCTTGAGCCCAGGCAACTTGAGAACAGCCCAGGCAACTTGACGAGACTCTGTTTCTACAATAAATCAAAAATTAGCCAGATGTGAAAGCATGCACCTGTAATTCCGGCTACTTGGAAGGCTGAGGCAAAAGGATCACCAGAGCCCAGAGAGTTGAGGCTGGGGTGGCCATGTGTGTGCCACTGCACTCCAGCCTGGACAACAGAGTGAGACTCCAACTCAAAAAATAAATAAAAAAGAAACGCAAGAATGGAGGGTGAGATGCATGATTGTTGGTGGTCGGAAGGCGGGAAGGGTGGTGGGGTGAAGGGGTAGGTGGAAAGACGGGACACCTTCCATCTGAGGACCAGGTCCATGCCGAGGAGAGTCCCAGGGTACCCCTGCCTCTTTCTCTTCCAGGTCACGCTGTTCCAAACCTAGCCGGACCCAGGGAAGAAGACCCAGAAAAAACAAAGACACCCCAAAGGTGGTGCCTCTGCCCCATTTTCACCCTGAGTTGCCTCTTCTCGTCTTGCTGGCACCCCCAACTGAGCAATCACTGGGCTTGCAATAGAGGGAGGCCAGTGTGGGGGCCAGGGGACCAGGGAACCACAGAGGGAAGAGGGCTCTCTTGGTAGTGTGGAAGGACATCTTGGTAGTATGGAAAGGGAACACCAGCACCTGGGGGGCCTGGAAAGGAGTAGGTACTGGAAGATAACTAGACATTTGCAGGACACCCACGAGAGAAGTGACCTCTACTGAGTGACCAACATAGGACAATTGGCAAACGTCTAGCTTAGTTCCAGGAGGGACTACAGAGCCAGATTGCCTGACTGAATCCAGCTCCTCTCTTGCTCCCATTGGTCCTTAGACACATTACTTATCCAGCCTGACAGGGTGCTCATGAGGAGGAAGTGAAACCACGCATGTGTGGCATCGAGCAAGGCTCCTGGCCACGTGCTCACTACATGGCAGCTTGTGATCATCATCCTCATAGCCATTCCACAAGCACATTTTGCACCCTGCCGGCTTCCAGGTGCCAGGTGCAGACACTGTGAGGACTGTGGCCTGAAGGAGCTCAAGGTCACCTCAGGGAGACAGACCTTAAAGGAGCACGTGACAATACATGTTGAGGGTGGTGACACTGATGTGAACGGAGGGACATGGGAGCACCAGGTCACTTATAGCTATGTGTCGGTCGATTTGAGCTTTTGTCTCAGTCCTAAAACCAGGTATTGGTATCCCATTTTGCAGATTTAAAAAACTGAAACTCAAAGTCACTTTCAGGAAGAAGGATTCAAGGAGAGGAGAGGGAGGAACTCAGGGAACCAGATCAATGCAGAAGACCCAGGAGCAAGAGGGAGGAGGATATGGGCTGGGGACAGGTGAGGCAAGGACATTGGGCCACGCTGATCCTCACCAGATCAAGCCTGGGTCTCAGATCACCTTGGGGCTTGCTAAAAATCAGATTTCTGGTGATAAGTGAACATTTCCAGTGAGAAGGTCTGGGAATTAGCAAGCCTGTTGGATCACGGCTGTGACCTCTCCCATGCACCAGGTCAGGGAATTAGTACTGAGAGGGTGACAAATTTGGGGGCTTCTTTGCAGATCCCAGTCACCTACGGAGACCCCAAAGGAGTCTGGCTGGAGGAGCCACATGCCAGTCAAGCCAGCTGCCCACAAAATGCACCCAAGGGACACCGATTGGCTGGACCACCAGGATCCCAGCCACACAAACATCTTCCCCCCATTCTGGAACAGAAGAAAAGCAATTTCAGGAGCCTCAGGCTCCCCCAGAACATGTGGGAACCAGAGGGGGAGGAGCCTCAGCTGGACCAGGAACAGGAATCCCCATGGACTGGGATCTTCCTGGAGAACTCAACACCTAGCACCCAAGGACAGAGGGAGGGGGCCATGAGGGCTCAGGAGGAGGAGGTAGGGGTGGAGGCTGAGGGCAGAGGGGTTCTGCTGGGTGTAGAGAGTCAGAGAACCATAGAGAAAATTCCTGAAGGGGAAGCAGAGTGGGGTCGTGTCCACAGGCTGCTGGACCCCAGCCCCACACAAACAAGAGAGGCAGCATCACCAGGGAGCAGGCAGGAGTGGGAGAGGCCTAGCATTCTGGGGGAGTTCTTGGTCCCTCAGGGTCTGGGAACAAAGGAGGGTTCCACCACAGAGAAGACACAAGAACAGACGGAGGTGACCAGTGTGGCCAGGAGAGAGGAGCAAGCCGAAGTGGCCCTGCGGGCTGTGGTAGAGGTGAAAGCGGTTGAACTCTGCACCTGTCTCTTCTCCCCTCTCTACCTGGACCTCAGATGGGGGTCTCCAGTGGTCGCCTATGGCCATCCCAGCCCACAGATGAGCTTGTATTGGCCCACTTGGGATTATTATTGGGGATGCCGTCTGAAAGCCACATATTCTTAACAGTTCTTGGGGCAGCCACTTGTTCTCCAGTCCAATCCCTCATTCTGGCAGGTCTCTGCCAAAATCTACGTTCCCCTGTGGCAGACCCCACCTGGTTCTTCCTGTCACAGCACCTTCACTTGGAAGTCCCCCAGGATTGCTACCAACCTTCCTTCAGCCGCCTCCCTAGCCCATCGTCCAGGTTCCAGCTTTGCTGCTTCCCTCTTTCAGGGAAGGAAGAAACGGTGGCCCCAGACTCAACCAGGAGCAGGGCCTAGGACAGAACCAGGCATCCCAGCCTCGGCGCTGTCCCAGCCTTGCCCTCCACTCCAGGGCAAGGCCTGAGGTCTCACAAGGGTGTTGGTCAGGTCAGCCCGAGGGCTGGAACCTCTGCCCTCCTCCCTCAGCCTCCCTCTTTTCTCTCCTTGCACCCTTCCCCCTCCTCCACGCCAGAGCCTGAGTCTTCAGCACCAGAAGGTCGAGGAGCAGGCCCAGCGCCAGGGGCAGATGCTGAGAGAGCAGGAGGGGGAGCTGCAGGATCTTCGGAAACAGCTCAGCAGGTACCTTGGCGCCCACCAGCAGGGGGCGCCCTGAGGTGCTCCCTGACTCCTCTCCATCAAGGTCAAGCCAGCAAGGTCCTTTGAGCACCTCTGTGTGCCAGGCCCCGCACTGGGCACACTTTGGGCCTCTGAGGCAAGCAGGGCACCGGGACTCCTCCCACCCTTTCCTGGTTAGCCCTCCTTCACTGGCCTCCCAGAGTAGGGAGGCGAGAATCCCGCTTCCTGCCCTCCCATACTCACCCCTGTCTCCCTCGGCTGCCGCCTCTGGGCCCTGCTCTTTTTTGTTAAACAGCATTCTAGGCCGGGCACGGTGGCTCACGCCTATAATCCCAGCACTTTGGGAGGCCGGGGTGAGAGGATTGCTTGAGCCCATGGGTTCAAGACCAACCCGAGCAACTTGGCAAGACCTCATCTGTACAGTAAATCAAAACATTAACCAGGCATGTGGTATACGCCTGTAGTTCCAGTTACTTGGAAGACTGAGGCAAAAGGAGCACCTGAGCCCAGCAGGTCGAGGTTGCGGTGGCCGTGAGTGTGCCACTACACTCCAGCCTGGGCGACAGAGTGAGACTCCAACTCAAAAAAAATAAAAACCTTCTGCCTTTCTACCCACCTCTCAACGCTCCTCCCTACATTTCTGTTGTCCCCCTTTCACTCAATCTGTCTCTCATTTGCTTGTTCCCTGTTACTCAATCTTTGCCCTCCTGATGAACATAACCTTAGCTACCACTTAGTGAGCACTTACTTACGTCCCAGGCACTGTTGTAGGTGTTTCTGTGTAATAACCCTGTGAGACAGGTTCTAAAGTAAACCTCCTTAGAGATGAAAGTTGAGGCTCAAAGATGCTACACAATTCACCTAGTATCAGCTAGGAAGCCATGGAGCTCAGATTCAAACCCTGCAGCTGACTCTAGAACCTCTGGGTTCAGACACCACCCCTCAGGCAATGTCTCCAGTATCTGTACTTCATTCTGTCTGTCTCTCCCTCAGTGTTTATCTTTCATCATCATGTTGACGTCAGGGATGCAAGCATGCTGTCTGTCTCTGCCTTTCCCCCTCAATCTGTCAAGTCTGTTTCTCTTTCATAACCCATTTTTTAACATACCTCCTCCAGCTGGGCACTGTGGCTCCCGCCTGTAATTCTAAAACTTTGGGAGGCAGAAGTGAAAGGACTGCCGGAGCTCAGGGGTTCAAGACTAACCTGGGTAACTTTGTGAGACCTCGTCTCTACAATAAATCAAAAAAAAAAAAATTAACTGGGCGTGGTGGTGCATGCCTGTAGTTCCAGCTACTTGGAAGGCTGAGGCGGAAAGATCATCTGAACCCAGGGGGTTGAGGCCATGAGCATGCCACTGCACTCCAGTGTGGGTGACAGAGTGAGACTTTAACTGAAAAAAACACACCTTCTCCATACGGAGACCTCCTTTGACCTGACTCAGCCTCTTTGGGTCTCTCTCCCCTGGTCTCTGGGTGCCTCAGTCGGTCCCACGGCCCCTATCTCTCCTCCCACATGGCTGACACCTGCCCCTGGCCCAGGAGGCACCAGTCTGATCCCAGCAGAGCCTGAGTAGCTGTGATTCAGCCTGAATCACTGGAAAGTTAGCTGACTGTCTGCCGCACAGGATGAGAGAGGCCCAGGAGCCCAGAATCCAACCTAAAAGGGCCCATGGCTCCTCCCAGTGCACACTCAGCTGAGCCCACCTATGCGATGATCCAGACCCTGAAAGACCATGGGGGCCTTGCCCACTCAAGAGCCTTCTGTGAGTCAAGACAGGCTGGTGGGAGCAGCTGGAGGCTGCAGGATGTTGACCTGGCCCTGGCTGCTCCCTGCACTTGGAGCCCTGCCTCACAGATCACTCCTCCTTCTACCTGTCATCCATCATTCAGTCATTCTACAAACACTACGTCTACTCTGGGCCAGACCTGTTCTAGGTACAGGAAATGCTCTCCTGGACAGATCACACATAATTCCCGCCCTCCTGAGGAATCAGTTGTGGGACCTGAGAGAAAGATAAGTCAAATTATATGTCTAGACAGGGAGAATGTGTCCTAAGTCAAGAATTACTCTGAGTTTGTCAACCTGATCAACTGAAAAGCTGGAGTCACCCTAAACGGAGATGAGGCAGTTGTAAAAGGGACAGGTCTGTGGGATAGACATCCTAGCGGGACTGCTGGGCAAGAAGTTGGGTGTGGAGATCAGGAGTCATCAGAGTGAAGATAATGAGGAGCAGCAGCTCCTGAGACTGGGACAGGAATGTGGCCCTGACTCCTGGGACCCAGGGAGCAGAGAACAAAGCTCATTCCTGGAGAAAGGCCCGTGGGCATCAAGCTGATGACAGGCACCTCACCACAGCAAAGTGCCATGGGGGGAGGGGTACCACAGTGAACAAAGCCTGTTCTAGAAGACCTGGGAGACAGATGATAGATAAACAATAGAAATGCAGCATCTGGTAGTGATAGATGCTGTGGAGAGAAACCAAGCCAGGGAAGGGGACAAAGAAAGAGAAGACAGGACAGTCGTTCAGACTTGGGGTCCAGGAAACCCCCAGAGGAGGTGACAGTTGAGCAGAAGGCACAACCCTGTGGGAGACTGGACCATACAAATAGGTAGTGAGGAGGGCTGCAGGCCAGAGGGCAGACAAAAAGGCCCAGAACACATGTGCTTGGGACAGACAAGCTGGCCGTTCCAGTTGTAGGTGAGCAGAAGAGAGAATGGCAGAGAGCCAAGTCAGCCATCTTGAAGGCTGAGTGGGGCTCTGGAATTCTCCCTCCTATAGGAGGCTGGAACAGCGTTTGGATCTAGGTCTGACTTCGGTGTGGTGTGGAGAACAGACTGAGGGTGGACAAGTGAAAGTCCCTACGCAGAGCCTGGCAGGAGGTAGAGGTGACGGGCAGCAGACTCTGCAGGTAGCAAGCCCAAGCACAGACCCGCGGGGCTGGGAAATGGACTGAAACGTGGGGCTTCCAACACCCACATCACAGCTCTCTGGTTGTGTGTCACGGGACAGTGCCCCCCGCCCTCTGAGCCTCAGCTCCCTGATTTGCTCAGACACTCTATGCAGGCATGTCTCCAGGTGGGTGTCCTCTATTCTCTGAGGAAGACATGGAAAAGGAGATGAAGGTAGATGTAAGCCAAAGTGGTCCTCGGGATGGGGAATTAGGCAGCATCACATCTCCCCTCGCCCATGGACAGCAGCACAGAGCTCCTTTGAGGCCTGCCGGGAACAATCCCTCCCTCCCACCTGCAGCCCCCTAGGTACTGTGTCCAGATTTCTACTCCCTCCACTTATCAAGCTGTGTGACCCCGAGCAAATGTCACTCCCTCTCCTAACCTCTGCTTTTCTCTCTTGTGAAATGAGGCTCATATTACCTGTCTCCTAACATTGTAGAAACTAAATGAACAAGACTATAAAACACTAAGCTCAGTGCCTGGCATGTAGGAGCTACTCGATAAATTGATTGCTTTCATGTCCCCTCCCACATTGAGTTTGTCACCCCCTGCTTAAAATACTTCAGTGACTTTCTACTTATTGCACTGAGGTTGAAGTCTCCTCCTCTGGGGCCCCTGAGGACAGATTAGGCCTTGCCCACCCCACCCTCCTCCTGTCTTCCCCTGTCCCTCATGGCCCCTTATGGCTTTCCAGATTCACTAGTCTCCTTTCAGTTCCTCAAACAAGCCCAGCTCTTTCCAACTTGCAGACCTTTGCATGTCCCCGTGTCTGATCCTACATGGTTGACTTCCCATCTTCTAGGTTGGCTTCCAGGTCACCTTGTCTGAGAAGCCTCCCCTGAGCACCCTCTCTGGTCTCTGTCTCAGCCCCTCATTTATCTCTGTCATAGTACTTAGTTTAATTATTTGACTGGTCCACCACTTGTTTTGACCCCTGCCCCGAACATGCTACAAGGTCCACAGAAGTTAGAGACACAGCTCTACTCCTGACATCTCATGAGCACTGACACACAGTTGGTGCTAAATAAATGCTCCCTCTCATTCCATAGACACACACACACCCCACAGTGGTCACATAAAGACCTGGGATCACTGAACAAGTAAACTGGCTCAGGAAAATTAAAGTCAACAGCAAGAAATGAGGAAGCTGAAGACCAGAATGTTCATTAAAAGTCAAAACATGGCTTGGATCCATGCCTGAGCACCAGAACACTCTCAAGGCTGTAGTGACTGGCCTTTTTGGAATGTCAGTGGCTGTCTATTGTCAGTTTGATGTCATGGCCCACCCAGCTTTCTTCCCTGCAGCACACTAAATGGCCATGTTGTAAAAATTAATAGTTTGGTTCATCACCAAGCCTCTTGCAAGCCTCTTCCCTTCCAACATGCTCAAGTCCCAGAGCACGCATGCACACACACATTCTGAGTGCAGGGACCCCCACAAGCCCACCCAACATTGCAAGGCACTCCCAACTAACCATGAAGCTGGGACCTGGGACCAGGGCCTTTTTCTTTCCAGTCCAGTAGACTTTTTGGAACCTTCTAGAAAACCACTGAAGATAGAAAGAACAGGTAAGGCTAGAGCTGAAAAGGTTCCAAGGCCAAACAAACAGAAATTGGTGAAAGCCGTATGTTTAATATTACTTTTTTTATTGAAAAGACAATGTAACGTAACTTTTTAAAATATTTTAAAGCAAAAAACTACCCCAGATCTTCCACTGTTCTCCCTTCACACACAATTGTTTCCAGCCGGGCAATTGTGAATGTACCTTTCCAGGAAATTACATTTAAAATGGAAATGTTTAAAAAAACACAGTGGGAGAGGAGATGTTGGCTTCCCCTCTCAAGGAGCACTCAAGTCTAGGGCCTGCTTTCATTTCTCTGAATGACTGGAGGGGAGTCAGACCACACACAGTGTTCAGCTTGGTGTGTGTGTGCATTGTGTGTGCACACACGTATGCTTTGTTTGCATGTTGTCTTGTGTGTTATGTTGTGTATATCTGTTATATTGTGTGTTGTGTTATGTGTCACATTGTATGTGTTGTGCGTTGTGTCATGTGTGTTGTGGTGTCGTACTGTATGCACGAATTGCCTTGTGTGTTGTATTGTATGTGTGCCTTGTGTGTGTTATGCTGTGTAAGGGTGTTGTGGTGTATGTGCGTACGATGTGTTGTATGAATATGTGGTACTGGGTATTGTGTCTATTGTGTTATGTGTTGTATGTGTGTGAGGTGTATTTGTGTGTGTGTGTGGACTTCAGCGGCAGGGCCCCACCCGCTTCCCCCATGGGCTCCCATCCAGCAGAGATCCAGCCAAGGCTCAGCAGAGGCCCAGCCTTTCGGTCACAAATGCTGAACTTCTCCCCTCAGAGCTTGGTCTTCCTTCAGGTGTCAGGAAGAAAGAACCCAGCTACAGGCACAGCTGGAGCAGAAACAACAGGAGGCTGAGAGGCGGGACGCCATGTACCAGGAGGAGCTTGGAGGGCAGCAGGACCTGGTCCGAGCCATGAAGAGGCGGGTGTTGGAACTGATTCAGTAAGGATGGGATGGGGGACAAGACAGTGGAAGGGAGGATGGCAAGGGAGGCGGAGCCCGGGCAGGAAAATTCTATTCCACCAACAAAACTGAAGCAGGATTCTAGACCTTTCATAAGTGCTAACACATAAGTGGCTTCCTCTAGCCACCCCGTGCTATTATTCCCATTTTGTGGATTAGGAAACTGAGGGTCAGAGAGGCTGACTTCGTCACCAAGGACACATAGCATATAAATTCCATAGAGTCCTCTGACAATAAAGCACATGCCCATTCCAACCCACTCCTCTACACACGCACACAACGAAGGCTGAGAGAAGAGAAAGAAACCTATGGATTGAGAAGAAGTTAGAAGAAGGAGGAAAAAGACACTGGGAGTGGCTCAGAGGTGGTGATCACATGCCCTATACCTGCATGCCCCTTGAACTTCCTCAGACCCTTGGGCCCAGCTGCCTTAGGTTCCAGAGGTCAGGATCACTGAGGTTAATTCCAAACCACGAAGCTCCCTGAGAGATAAGGGACATATGGAAAGCGTAGTTTCTGCCCTTTTTCGTCTAGGGGAGGTAATTCACATATATATGTTCTCCCCTCATACAGTTCAGAAAACAGGAGACCATTGGACTCAGGTTCCATTAAAATTGGGAGTTTGCTGAGCAATCATCTAGAACTAAATCTGCATACACAAAATTCAAATAATACTAACGGTGAGAAAACAGAAAGATCAACTTGGAAAGGACAAGCAAATAATTTAAGGGATGAGTGCCTCCGAGGAACTGTCTGTTGGGAGGAACAGAGTTAGAAAAAGTTAAGTATTCACCTCACACAAAAAAATGTAAGGTGACTAACAATCAAAGACATAGAAGTGTGATTGTTAAAGAAAAATAGAAGATTAAATGGAAGATATAATGAAAGACAAATATATATATATAGACCCAACATGTATGTTAGGATTAGGACTCAGCTCTGAGCATCTCGGTAGCAGGATCAAAATGGAAAAGACAGAAAGCTGTCTACCTCTCACTATCCAGTCAAAGAAAACATACTAGTTCATCAGCAGAGACAAATATTTTTCCTGGTGCTAAGGAAATTAATTGCAGGTTCATAGGAAGGGAACCTCAATGTATATAATACAATGTATGTATATCATTATAAAGCAGGAACTTTATAATATGACCCTGATCAAAAAAAAAGAAAGAGGCCAGGGGCAGTGACTCACGCCTATAATCCCAGCATTTTGGGAGGCCAAGGTGAGAGGATTGCCTGAGCCCATGGGTTCAGGATCAGCCTGGGCAACTTGGCGAGATCTCATCTCTACAATAAATCAAAAAATTAGCTGGGCTTGGTGGCACATGCCTGTAGTCCCAGCTACTTGGAAGGCTGAGGCGGAAGGATCACCTGAGCCCAGCACGTCGAGGCTGCAGTGGCCGTGAGCATGCTACTACACTCCAGCCTGGGCATCAGAGTGAGACTCCAACTCAAAAAAAGAAAAGAGAAGGCCGGGTGTGGTGGCTCACACCTATAATTCCAGCACTTTGGGAGGCTGAGGTGAGAGAATTGCCTGAGCCCATGGGTTCGAGACCAGCCTTGAAAATTAAAAGTATCACCACTGAATTTTTTAGAAAGTCGCTGAAAAAATTGGAAAGAAAGATGAGGTAATCATGAGAGATGAGAAAGTAGAATAAAAAGCACAGCGAGATGGGAGTCATCAGAGGATAGAAGCACACTGAAAATTCACCTCTGTGACTTTTTTTTGGATCAGGGTCATGTCCTATAAAGCTTCTGCCAGGGAAATTGTATTATATACTTTGGGGTTCCCTTCCTGAGGACCTGTAATTAATTTCCCTAGTGCCAGGAAAAACATTCGTCTCTGCTGATGAACTAGTTTATTTTCTTTGACTGGATAGTGAGAGGTAGGCAGTTTTTCTGTCTTTTCTGTTTTGATCCTGCTACCGACATGCTCAGAGCTGATATCAGTTCCAATATCATCTCCAACTGACAGAAGTTCTGTAAAAGGGAAGAATAAAATGAAGGAGGTTATCAAATAAAATATAAATGGAAATTATCTAATAAAAATGTGAGAGAATTTCTCAGCTCTGAGAATTTCTCAGATTTGAAGGTTTAACTGAGTGACCAGCACAATAAACGAAAAATAAAACAGAACCCACACCTATATACATCATTGTGAAATTTCAGTAAAGCAAAGATAAGGAGAGTATCCTAAAATTGTCTAGAGAAAAAGACACCTTTTCTCTTCACCTATAAAAGAAGAAAAATCCAACCCATGTCAAGAGTCCATGGTGAAATACTTTTCACGTTCTAAGAAAAGCTGACCTTTTGGCGGGCTGCGGTGGCTCACACGCCTATAATCCCAGCACTTTGGGAGGCCGAGAGGATTACCTGAGTCCACGGGATCAAGACTAACCTGGGCAACATGGTGAGACATTATTGCTACAATAAATCAAGAAAAATTAACTGGGCTTGGTGGTATGTGCCTGTGGTTCCCACTGCTCGGAAGGCTGAGGCGGAAGGATCGCCTGAGCCCAGCAGGTCAAGGTTGTGGTGGCCATGAGCATGCCACTGCACTCCAGCCTGGATGACAGAATAAAGCTCCAACTCAAAAAAAAAAAAAAAGAGTGAGAAAGAGAGAAAAAAAGAAAAGTTGAATTTTTCCCCAGAATTCAATGTCCAGCCAAATTATGAATTAAGTAGGGAAGGCAGTGGAGAAAAGACCTTTTCAGACAGACAGGTTTCTGAAAATTCACCTCCCACACGGTCTTTCTTAGGAAGTTAGTTGAGGATGTATTCCAGAAAAACAAGGAAGTAAACCAAGAAAGAAGAAGCCGTGGAATTCAGGAAACAATGGCTCTAACCTAAGAGAGAAGAAAAAGGAATTCCCAAGATAACAAGTGGGCAGTAAGCCCAGGGAGCAGTCATCTAAACTGGAGCAGAAGGACCAAGGGCCCCAGGAGGGAGGTCTCTGGAGAGAAGGGGAATCAAGAGAATTCCTGATGTGATGAAGGATTCAGGTGGAGGGGATAAAACATTAAAAGCAAGTCAAAAAGCAAACCATCATCATCATAAGGCCAGGTGTGGTGTCTCACAACTATAATCCCAACACTTGGGAGGCCAAGGTGAGATGATTGCTTGAGCCCAAGAGCTCGAGGCCAGTCTGGGCAACATAGCTAGACCTCATCTCCACAAAAAAAAAAAAAAAATCAAAAAGGAAAAAAAAGCAAGTAATGCAAGAAACAAAGAAAAACAATTTAAAATTCCTAGAAAAACAAAAGCCTTCCAAGCAGCGAAATGTTGTAGAAGACATCTTAGCTCTTTGGGAAGTAGAATGTATATATATTATCTAATAATGTAAATACTATTCCTTGATTTTTTCCAATGTTAGAATCAACCTAAAGGCAAGGCACAGAAGAAAGTTATAATTGTAGAACAGAATGTAAATGTTACTGGCTTAACAATATTAAGTATAAAATAGAATCCAATTGAATGTTCTGTGAAAGTGAAAATATTCTGCGTTTGTGCTGTCCAATAAGGTAGGTACTAGTCACATGTAAAGCATGTGAAATACTTAGCTGGTGGAACTGAAGAACTGAGGTTTTCATTTTATATAATTTTACTTAATTTAAATTGTCGTATGTGGTTAGTGGCTACCATCTCAGATGCTGCAAGAATAGATGACAAGATAGGTAGGGGAGGAAGGAGTAGTGTTAAGAGGAAGGGACGCTGGTGTCATTGTATTACAGAATGGGAGTCATACCTGCAGCTAATAATTGATCAAGAAATAAATGTGTGAGTATATTCTGCAAAAATTACAATGGTAGCCTAGAGAAGAACCAAAAAACAGAAATTAACTATATTGAGAGGAAAAAGGTTGAGTTAGTGAGGATGGTAATAACTAAGCCAAAGCCCTGATATCAAGGGAAAGGAAGGAGCTCTATAGAAAATGTCCTGAGCCGGGGGTGGTTGTTCACGCCTGTAATCCCAGCACTTTGAGAGGCAGAGGCAAGAGAATTGCCTGAGTCCAGGGGTTCGAGACCAGCCTGGGCAACCGGCGAGATCTCGTCTTTACAATAAATCAAAAAAAATTAGCCGGGAGTGGTGGCGCACACCTGGTTCCAGCTACTTGGAAGGCTGAGGTGGAAGGATCGCCTGAGCCTGACAGGTTGAGACTGCAGTGGCCATAAACATGCCACTGCACTCCAGCTTGGGCGACAGAGTGAGATTCTTACTCAAAAGAAAAGAAAATGTTCTGTATTGGAAAATAATGAAGGAAGGATAGGAACATATTACTTAAATATGGAAGTAATATCAAGGAGAGAAAGCAAACAGATGTAAGAAATGGCTTCCCACTGAGAATGGGAAGGAGTAGAGAGGGTGTCTTGTACCTTTTTAGATAAGTCCTCTTGTACTATTTGATTTTTAAATTGTGTACATATTATGTTGATAAAAATGTAAAACAACCCACATTCCTGAACATCCTTTAAAAAACAGTGAAGATAGATTTGCAAGGGCATACACATAAATAAATACTGTACAAAGTGTTAAATAAAAGATACTAGACATTATGTGCTTTAAAAGTCTGGAACAAGAATCCCCAGGGGCTTCTGTGATCCGGGAACACTCCTTGGAGGAGGAGGATATAAATAGGTTCTTTTTTTTTGAGTCGGAGTCTCACTCTGTCACCCAGACTGGAGTGCAGTGGACGCTCCCAGCCACCGCACCCTCGACCTGCTGGGCTCCGACGATCCTTCCGCCTCAGCCTTCCAAGCAGCTGGAACTACAGGTGCGCGCTACCACACCGGGCTCATTTTTTGATTTGTTGTAGAGATGAGGACTCACCAAGTTGTCCAGGCGGGTCTAGAACCCTCAGGCTCAGGCAATTCACTCACCTCGGCCTCCCAAAGCTCAGGATTATAGGCTGAGCCACTGAGCACGGCAACAGGTTCTTAAATAATGGTTCAAGGTTATGATAGGTAAAGGGGAGCCAGGTGTCATCATCCTGATCTCTTGTGTGTATCTCTCACTGTCTCTTGTTTGTCTTTCTCTGGCCCTGTGTCTCTTTCTCTAACCCTTCCTCTCTGTTTCTGTGTGTGTCTCTCTCTCGTTCATGTATCTCCCAACTTCTCTGTGTGTCACACTGTCGCTCTCTAATTCTCTGACTTCCATTATCTCTCTGAGTGACTGTCTTTCTCTGCCCCTTTGTGTTCCTCTCCATTGCCGTATCTCTGCCTTTCTGCCTCTCTGCCCTTGTTTCTGCCTCTGTCTCTCTCTTTTTGTCTCTGTGTGACTCCCTGTCACCCTCTCTGTCTCTCTCTCTGTCTCTCTCTCTCTCTCTCTCTCTCTCTCTCTCTTCCTCTTTCTCTGTCCGTGATTCTCTTTCTGTCCCTCTCTGTGTCTCCGTCTGGATCATTTCTGTGTTTCTCTCCTCCTGTCTCTGCCTGTGTGCATGTCTCCACCTCTATACCCGTCAGAGAGAAGGACCATCTGTGGCAGAGACTCCAGCATCTCTCTTCTGTGGCCCCTGGGTGTTGTGTCAGCTGTGGCAAGATCTTTGGCCGACTGTCTCGGCGGTATCCGTGCAGGTAATGAGAAGGTCCCAGAATCCTTCCACTGGGACAGCCCGAATTCCACTAACTCACAGCCCCCACCCACCCCAGGGGAGGGAGGGACGTGGGAACTGGGTGTTTACGAAATGCCGCGCAAAGCTGGTCACTCATTCACCGCGTCTGGCTTCCGACACTAAGCAGAGCGGTGAACTCATGAAGGAGAACAGCGGAAATGGGTCAGATAATGAGTGGGGTCCTGGAAGGCAGGATTGTGTAACATTTCACAGAATAGACTGATGAATGGGCCTCTCGTCGGGGAAGAGAGACTCTGTCCAGGGGAAGCCACTCCCACCCCCTACCCCATCCCCAACCTTCCTCTGCGATCACTCACGACATGGGGCAAACAGTGGGAGAGAGGACAGTGAACCCCCAGGAGAACCTGCCATTTGGAAGAAGAGAGAGGCTTTGAAGGGGTTGGGCCTCAGACCTTCAGGAGAGGGGAGACCTCCTGAGACAGACCAAGGGCCATTCTGCTGGGAGATGAGAAGCAGACACCTCAGGTGGACCTAAGATGCTGGAACTCGTGTCCCCAGAGTGCATTCAGGGGCGCCCCCGGGCCTGCCGCAGAGGCCACCCGGTCCTCCCTATCTCTGCTTCCCCAGGCTCTGCGGAGGCCTGCTCTGCCATGCCTGCTCTGCGGATTACAAGAAGAGAGAGCGCTGCTGCCCACCCTGTGCCCAGGGAGCCCAGGTCACCCAGGACTAGCCACCTACCTGCCTAACCGCCCCACCCAGTCTGTTTCCTGCCTTTGGCTTTTCCCAGCCCTCTGATCTGTCTACTCCTACCTTCTAGAAACTGGTGATCTAAGACACTGGCACTTCCGTGGGCAGAGTGCGGTGTGGGAAGTGGAAGGAGCCAGGTGGCAGGCAGGAGACAGCTGCCAGCCCTGTGTCTTCCACGATGAGCCAGGGGACTTTGGCAAAGTGCTCAGCTCTCAAGGATTTTTCTGTAACGTGAGGGAATCGGGTTCCCTCCTCTCTAAAGTCCCTCTGGGCTCAGCAAATCTATGATGTGAATAAGATTCCAGCAGCCCTGATGTTTCTCCTCTGCACTCCCCTTTTACCCAGCTGCAATGCCCACTCTTCCTCTTTCACAAGAAGCAACACTTTACTGTCTTGATTACTTTAGTAGCTTCCTGTCTAGAATCTGCTTCAGGGATCGATGTTTTGTGTTGTTTTGTTTTCTTTTTATCAGTATATTGACATATTATAAACATCACGTAAAGTGTGCAGTTTGATGAGTTGTGACTTTAATACACACCAGTGAAATCATCTTCACATCAAAGTAATAAGCACGTCTGTCAGCCCCAAAGTTTCGTCACATGCCTTTGTAGTCTCCCTCCCCGTTCCCCTTCCTCCATACCCAGGCAACCACTGATCTGTTTTCAGTCACTACAGACGAATGTGCCTTCTCTAGAATTTCATATAAACGGAATCATACAGTATGCACGCTCTACTATCTGCCTTCTTTCTCTCAGCATAATTATTTTGAGATTCATCCTTGTTGTTGCATATTCCAGCTAGGTATTTTATTGTTGAGTAGTATTCCACAGTATGAATATGACACAATTTGTTTATACACTCACCTGTTGCAGGACACCTGGGTCATTTCCAATTTGGAGTTATTCCAAATAAGGTGACTATAAGCATCTGTGGACAAATCTTTGTGTAGACATACTACACTTATTTTCCCCTGGGTAAATACCTAGGATTGACAAGCTTGAGCCATTATCTTAACTTCAAGAAAGTGCCAGACTATTGCCCAAAGAGGTTGTATTATACTCTATCTTCCACCAGCAGTGTGTGAGAGTTCTAGATGTTCCCCCAGGGCATCTGGGGTGGGTGGGCAGAGCAGGAGGCTTAGGCATGGGGCGTGGACCTCTGGCCTTTTCTACCAACCGCTGTGGAGACTTGATCAAACCCGAGTTGTGAGTGCCTGGAAGGAGGAGCTGAGTCCGGGTGACTCTCTGTGCAGTGCTTGTCCAGTCAGACTTTGCTAAAGACAGTTGATGAGGACTATGTAGCACTGTGGCCTGAGATCATATCCCCTGCACGAACCATATAAGCCAACACAGGTTGTGTCATCCACTTGGCACCTGATTGTGGTGCTTCTGAGAATTCTGTTTCAGAAGTGTGGGTCCACTCTATGACAAGGCAAATAGCTGCCCAATCCGGGCTCTAGGAGACGCTCTGTGGGACCTCACAGGGCTTCACACTGTCCCCATCCATCACTGGCACTGCCAGAGCCCCCGCAGCTGTTGGGCAATCCTGTGGCTCTGACCAGAGCCCGTGGACAGCCTCTTGGGGTGAGGCCGCCCAGAGTTGCATCCCATCGCCTGTGCATGGAGCAAGAGTTTTGCAACAACAGTTTCTGCCCTGGAGAGCTGGTGAGGACTTCTTAGTAAACACGGTAGTAAGGTGGGGGGAGGGTGTGGGAGGCTCCTGAAGCAATCAGCGCCATGGAATCGCCCCTAACCTCAAGAGCAGCAGTTGTCTTTCTGGAGGTCAGACTTGCCCACGTATAACTTTATTAGGGCAGAGATCTTGTTACAGCAGAAAAAATAATATCCTAGAAGGAATCCCAGCACAAAGTTCAGACCTTCCTGATGAACTGATGGGGGACAGGAGAGTAGACACCTCTTTTCACAGAGGAAGCAGAAGCTCCTGGAAGAGACCTCATCGGAGAGGAATCAGGGTCCAGAAACAAAGGAGCTTGACTTTCTCCCCCGTTTGAGATGGAAGGACAACACTAAGGACCAGCCTCTAGCCCAAGACTGTCCCTGAAAAAGTCCAGTGGAGAGAGCAAAAGAGCACTAGGAAATCAGAAATGTGTGTTCAATTTTGGGGACCTTCTAGCAGAGATATCTACAAAGGTCACCATAGACCACCCAGAGCCCCAGTCCTTCAGAGGTGACTCCAGGACACATATCCAGCAACTGTGATGCCCAGAGGAGCAGGTGGGAGATGCCCCAACAGATTTTCCCCCCAAATCCTAAGGAACATTTTACAGGGCTGAAGCCCTGCATGAACACAGGGGGTCTGAGCCAGTGCAGTCTGGGCTGTTGCTATTGGAGTGACTTGATTTGTGTTCATAGGCTGGAATGCCCTGGGAAATTGGGGCGACATAATTATTTCTTTAAGGTAGATGTCACTGGGATGCTCCAATGTACGTGAGTTTCTCCCACCTGTCAATTCATTCAGTGCCCAGCAAAAAGCAGTAGGCATCGATGGTATGCCGAACACTGATTGACTTGGAGATACAGATAAGGGAGAGGAGGCAGTCAGGCAGATGACTGATTACAAAACCTGTGTTAAATTTGGAAGGAAAAGGGAGAGCTGGACAGACTGAGAGGATAGGAAAAAGCATCCCAAGGAAAAGAGAGATACAAGCCAGGACCACAGGGGAAACCAGAACAGCTTCTGAGGGGGTTTGCAAGTCATTCCCCGTGGCTGGAGTTAAGGGTTCCAAGTACTCGGCCTGAAGTGACAGGGATGGAGAAGTAAGAGGAGTCAGACAGAGGGTGTCAGGTGCCCGGCTCTGGGGTCTGACTTTACCTGGGAGCAACCAGGGTTCTTGAAGGGTTTTAAGAGAAAAAGAAAGTGACCAAATTCACATTTTAGGAAGCTTGTTCTGGCAGCAGATTGGAGGGCGGATTAAGGGGAAAGACTTGGGGCAGAGATGATTTAGGAGAAGAAAAGGAGGGTAACGAGGAGGAAGAGGAGGAAGAGGAACAGCTAACAGCATCAAGCATCACTCTCAGTGTTTATAAATATGCGGGGAGAACCTAAAAATATAGAATTATTTTTTGGAAGGTGGGCTCCTTGTAGTACACTCAGGATCTGTTCCCCTGGATTAAATTGTCAATCAATGTTTTTATCTGGAAGTTTTGAGATGGTTGCATTACAATTTTCGGAAGGAATGTCCCCAGTTAAGGCAAACAGGTGACCTCCCCACAATGCGCTGAGTGTTAGCAGTTTTTGACCAAAAATGGTCTGACCCCCGTGCCACCCTCCTTACTCGCCCATCTTGCCCTGAGCGACTTTTTGTTGTTGTTGTTTCCCAGATGAAAAAAGTCCTCAAAGGGGAATGTTTCCCCGATGTGGAAGAGGGAAAACAAAAAATAGCAGAAGCATTAAAAGGCAGCAAAATTGACAAGTTCAAAAACTGTTTTGAGTTGTGAAAAAACTTCTCACAAGGCGTATTGCATCAAATGAAGAGTACTTTGAAGGTGACTGAAGTTTAAACATGTAAGAATAAATACACAATTTTTGATAAATTAATTCCGATTTTTTTGGGGGGGCGTCCCTCCTCGTAGATTCCTTCAATTCACATAGCAACCTTATGCAGAAGGTACTCTCGTTATCCCAAGGAAAAGAGAGATACAAGCCAGGACCACAGGTGTTACAGATGATAAACCTGAGACCCAGTGAGATAAAATCATTTGCCCAGTTAGGCACAGGGCTCAAGCCTATAATCCCAGCACTTTGGGAGGCCAAGGTGAGAGGATGGCCTGAGCTCAGGGGTTTGAGACCAGCCTGGGAAACTTGGCGAGACCTCATCTCTACAACAAATCAAAAAATAAGCCGGGCGTGGTAGTGCACGTCTGTAGTTCCAGCTACTTGGAAGGCTGAGGCGGAAGGATCAACCTGAGTCCAGCAGGTCGAGGTTGTGGTGACCATGAGCGTGCCACTGCGCTCCAGACTGGGTGACAGAGTGAGACTCCAACACACACACACACACACACACACACACACACACACACACAAAATCTTTGCCCAAGGACCAGGTCTAGTATGTGTATCCTCACTCAGACAGCCCAGCTCTGGAACCCAGACTATTGCAAGCCCATGGCTGTAGTGGAGGTGAGAGAATGAAATGTACCCAGACTGGGTGACAGAGTGAGACTCCAACACACACACACACACAATCTTTGCCCAAGGACCAGGTCTAGTATGTGTATCCTCACTCAGACAGCCCAGCTCTGGAACCCAGACTATTGCAAACCCATGGCTGTAGTGGAGGTGAGAGAGAATGAAATGTTACCCAACACTGTCAGTGAAGATGATGAGGAAGAGGTCGTCAAGAGCCATGTAATGGAGAAGAAGAGTGAGGGAAATGTGAGGGGTATGCACAGTTCTGGCTTGGCAGAAAGGAGTGTGTAAGGAAGATCAGGAGAAGGACATGGTCAGGAAAAACAATAGCTTGGGCTTTCTGCATGTTGAGTTTGCGGCCTTTGTGGGCCCTCAGGGAGATTGCTGGAGGAAATTGCATGTCAGAGTTTGGAATTCCAGAGATATGCGGGCTGGGAACAATAGGTATGGGAGACCTTGGCACACGGGGGATGGCAGCTGAAGCTGTGGAAGCCAGTGGACTCACTGCAGGAGAGCAGGTAGATTAAGAGGAGAAGATGACCGAGGTAGAACTCTGAGGAACACTGGTGTTTGAGGAATGAATTGAGAAATAAAGCAACAAGCAAGACCAAGAGAGATGAGGGGGAAATAAGCAGAGAATGGGTCTGTAGGATTCAGTGATGTAGAGATCAGGTAAAATAAGACCTGAACAGTAACCTTTTTCACCATAAATAGCATTTGAAAAACATGCCAGATGCAGTAGCTCACACCTGTTAATCCCAGCACTTTGGGAAGTCGAGGTGAGAGGACTGCCTGAGCCCACGGGTTAGAGACCAGCCTGGGCAAATTGGCAAG